GAAGGGATCATACTATAGAGCTAACATTTTTATCAGAGTGAGATCTCATTGAGTTTTTTAGACCAACGCAATCCAGTAAATTTTGATTTTCTAACGAATGACAAGAGTTAGAACAGATTTTTTCACCATAAATACTATCAATGATGGACTATCTTTTGGTGAGATTGAAAGTATATAATCGCCGAATTTTGTTTTGACAGTATCTTGTAATGTGTATGGGCCAGACAGCTCAAAACACAGAACATTCATCATACGTACGCTATTCTATCGACATTTACACACACAAAGGTCACTTAAAAGAATGTCTATATATAGCGTGTGCATTTAACTCAATAAACATATAACCATCCTCTTCAAGCACATACAACAATTACAAATGTCACTACAAAAACCAAATCCCCAACTGTTTCTTAATGAACTCGACGATGAGCAGGTAGAACAATTTAAAGCAGTCGTGTACGCGTGTGGTGATTTTCGTTATTTAGTGAATCATAGTCATATTTATGGATCGATCGATATAGCTGAACTTGAAACGATGAAAAGTATTCGACCACAAGACGGTGATTTATATTTTGACTAAATAATTAAAGTACAAATGGAATCTTTTAGGCGCTTATTTTGTTAAATGGATGCGATGCTACATTCAAGAACATCATATGAATCAACCAACGTCTTCGTATAGTCGCATTATTTTAAAGTTAAATGGCAACTCCTGGCCATCAGTACAAACTGATTTTAAGAAGTGTGGGTGTGGGTGTGATCTCTTCGCTGTCATCTAACACCCACACCCACACCCTTATGTCAAAATTCAAGGGCAGTGAATTTCGATGCTTATTTCATTTCGGTGTGACAGCAATACTTCAATGTATGCGTGATAATGCATACAAAAATTTATTACTTTCACTGGTTACAGCGATTAATCTCTCATCAACTGATTATGTTACTAAAAATACAATTGAATCTGTTGAAAAACTATTAAATTTTTTTGTCAAAAATTTTGAGTTAACTTTTGGTTTGCGTCATATGTCTATTAATATCCATTCATTTCTACATGTTTCTGATAGTCTTAAATTAATCGGACCATTATGGACATGCTCAACGTTTGATTACGAAGGTTAAATGTAATAATTTTTTCTCACTTTAATTTGATTTTTCATTATAGGTATTGATAAAGACTTAGTGAGTACCGTCCATGGCACAACCGAATATGCCAAACAACTAATTCGTCACCATATTTTGTATCGAGATGCAATCATTCAAAATAAAAAACCAAACTATCCCTTGGTATTGTTCACGGTTAACCAAGCACTTCTTAATAGAAAACAATCAAAATATCGTTATCGCAATGATGTAGATGGATGTTCGTTACCTAATCCAGTGTCTAAAGAGTTGTATGATTTAAGTGATAATGGTATTGCTTCATGTGTCCAAGCTCATTTTAAAGATCCATTAACGTATTATCATTCTTTAATCATATCAGGTGTTTTGATTAAAACAACAATGACATCTTATGGTAAATTATTTAATGATAGTTGTATATCTTTTTACTTTGATAATGAAAAAATTCGTTATGGACTTGTCAGAGCCATAGTTAAGTCCAAACAAGATAGTATTCGTTTATTTATAGAAGAACTTATTGAAAAAAAGCCTGGATCATCGCATTTGAAATTCAAAGTCAATGATGAACAATATCAACTTCCAAATGTATTTTTATTGAAACGTTCGACTATCTTTCACATTAAGCATCCAAAATGTCTAGTAAAAAAACATGCTATAATTTATAAACCTGGCAACCGTGTTACTGTTTTAGAATATCCTAATTTGAGAGATAACAGCTAAATAAAAAAGAACTTTTTTAATAGATAAAAACAATAATTTTTTTATAATAATACAGATCATATGTGTTATATTCAATGAAAATATTGCGAAACAATATTCAAAATTCAGGTAGCGATCAAAATGTTCAAAGTCTAGCCGATTTTGTTGTTACAAAAGTTTCATCGATATTTATTTATATATAATAAAAATATTAGTCAATGATATTTTCAATAATGTATTAGAGAGTGAATATCTTGTCAGATATACATGGATTTATTAGACATGATCTGTCACATCGAATGGTGCAAATGGTTGACGAAAGAGGTATGTAATGCAAAGTATGTATGTTCGATTCTAGCCTCCATCGTTATCTCTGTATAGTTTAGACTAGTCTGGACGTTCACAACTGGTTCATAGCAAACTGCTCAGAAACGCTGCAGACGATTAGTATATACAATAGAGTGCGCTAGTATACTTGGAATATTCTATATAATTTTTAGAGAATTTCAGACGGTTGTCGTGTCCAATCGTCCAGACTAGTCTTTTTTCATATAAAGTTATCGACTTGACTAGTCTGAAGATCTTTAATCATAGAGTTCTATCCAATGTTTTTATAAATGGACTAGCGTCAAATTTGCTTGACCGGTCTAGACTTTTTTCTCAAAAACGACTGGTACATGACTAGTCAGCATTCTATAGACTTTCGACTAGTCTCAGACCGACATTTTTTTCGAAAAAGATTAGACATGACATATATAAAGATGCCCATCGATTGAATAGTCAGGACGTGGTTACAGGACTACAAATTATTTCAGACTAGTCATATATGACTCGTTTTTGAGAAAAAGACGAGACATGTTGCCTCGTCATGACCAGAAATAAGACTAGTCCTTTTACCCGTCTTTTGTTCACCTGGGTATTGATAATGACTCAGGACAGTTTACGAATACTGTCGATCAATTTTGAGATACAGTGAATGGTACGTCTGTTGTAATGTACTGTTCAGATCCATCAAAATATGTATTTATTGATAAGTTTCATTTTACATCCAGTGTTCACAAACTGATCGCAGATGGCGTTACTGGCTTCATTTTAAATTAACCGTTTTCATTCGTATGTCCTTCAATCTAGTGTCAAACTTTCACTCTAGAATATTGAGAATAATAAAGGTCCTAATGGAATTTTGCATGAGTTCGCATATGTTTTATATGACTAAATGAGGGCCGATGTGTAGTGATATGATGCAAGCATACAAATAGAGTGCGCACTGCCTTGATAAATCATACCTATACTATCATTATGAAGCCATTGTGGTTGATAACATTTTAAGAAATAGGAACTGGATTTTACAGTTCACAAGTGCAACGTGAAGTGGTGATAGAGTGATCTCATACATAGATAGTGACAAATAAAGGATTGGGTTATTTTATTGAAATACGTTCTAATACGAAGTGCACTTAAATTGAAATAATTCAAAAAAAGCGAAAATTAGTAGTCAAATAACAACCAAATTAAATCAAGAGTCACAGTTTTGAAAGGAAAAATTAATAATAATAATAATTACGATGTGATTTGTGTCATGAATTGATCAATCATATGGAAATTCGATATTGGTAAGAAGAGGAATGATTTGATGTGCCAGATCTGGAGTGGCGGTACATAAGATGCGCCGATGCAATAGGTTTAAGTCTTTGCCTGTAGAAGAAAGATATCAAAACTGTAAGATTTGATTTACAGAAAACATTGATAAAATAACAAAAAAGGTAATCAATGCATTCAATGTTAAGAATAGTTCCAAATAAGTAATGTTTGACAAATAAAAGTAAGAAATATCTGATGTGGCCGAAGGAAAGGTGTCTAGTGTGGCTAAATTTTGTCACACTTCTTGGAGGATAAAACCATCGGTGTGTGTAAGGAGAAGAAGAAGGAGAAGGTTTTCGGGTTTAAACTTCCACTCATCGTAATTAACAGTGTATTTCACAAAAACTATGTAGAAATCATATTGAAAAAATGGTAAAAGCCACTTTTCAGGTTACCTTCTCGAGCAATAGTTTGGGAAAGTGACGTTTGCTAGTTTTCCATGCGACTATAACTATTCAATGCAGTTCTTCATTCTTGATTCAGAATATTTGAGTAGTTCTGTGGTTTGATTTCAATGTGAATATAAAAACAGCAACAGGCTACTTAATTTCGAAAGAATGCTCGATCAAAAAATCATAATGACCGCGTCAAGCATACTGTACAAAGTTTATTTCATAATCATTATTCACCTTTTGGATCTTTCACTTAGGGTGACTGATGGATAAAAAGCAAGCTCCGAGGTCGGTAAAAATAGTAGAGAGAAATTGGACTTGTACACTTATAATTAACTGCTACGTAGAAGTGACAAAACCATAAGATTAATTGATCCGTTTTCAGAGCACAAACACTGAATAGGAAAGGATTGAGTCAAACTTATTTCCTATCGAAATTGTTGAACCGGGTAAGATGATTTGCTAGTTATTACGTTTTTGTTTCTTCTTGTAACTCTTCCTTCCATATTCTCTAGTAAATTAGGGTTCAGTTTCAGTCTCACATATTTAGAAAATATGTTGCGATCTTTAATCGTTTTAAGTAACCAATGACCTATTGAAGTCTTCCAAATTTTTATTCCGGTAAATTTTCTGACTTTCGTTTTGTATAGTATATATACTAACCTGTCGGATCGCAAGTAAATGCTCCAGCTTCTCTGGCGATGAGATCACCGGCAGCTAAAAAGAAAAAAAATGAA